TTCAGAACCTCCGACGCACCGAAGGACGTGTGCTGCGGGTTACATTTCCGTCTAACAACCGCTTTGTTTTCACCCATGCTCGAAAATTTCTAGATAAAAATATAATTTTGTACTATTCTATGTGAGTTAAGTAGTAAGTCTGTAAGTAAACGAAATTTTATAACAACTACGTTATAGGTTGCATAATTTTCGCAAGAAATGCAAAGAAAAAATATTTTTAGATATTAAAACGTGTAAAACTATTTTCAAAATATTTAAGATTTGAATATCAAAAAATATTTAATGGAATACACCTACAAAATCCTGCATTTTATTAAAATCACATAAGTCAATATAGCAATTTAAAGTGTATTTTAATTACTTTTATTTGCACATTTAATTTTCGAAGCGAATGGTGAGGCATTGTGGAAACTAGTTCTTTAATTAAGCAAAATGAAATACGAAAAATGGTAGCCGATTTGTGCTGCAACTCCAGAGAAGGGCGCAACATAATCTTCAAGATAGCAGACTCAATTGGAAGATTTGTTTGGGAATATGATAGCGAGAACCTATCCGAACTCGTCTGTGGAGTTTAAAGATAACGACGAAGTTATTAGCTATCTCAAGTCGTCTCCCAGACGCAATTTGTTTTGGTCTATTAAGCAAACGTAATGGCGTCAGGGCGACAGTTACTGGAGAGCGACGAAAATATTGGATAATTTCAAGAAGATATGGAATTCCACAATTCGCCGAATCTCGGAGATACTTTACCCTAGGCTGCACTGTTTATTTTTACAAAATTGCATGGCAAAGGCCTCTTACGCCGGTCTACAACAAACGTTTTCAAAAGAAAGTAGAAAGTAGTAGTTTTTTTTTGAAGTATTATATTGTTTTTTTCAACTTTTAGTGAAATGTGTTTTCATTGGTATCAAAATAGGATATGGAAATACTAAGTTGCAAACTGCATAAAATTTAACTACTTCTAGTTGGGTTATTTACAACATATCACATGCCAATTGCCTTCATTCTTTGCCAATGTTGAAGGTCTGAAGGTTTCTTAAGTCGTGAGTATACAACATCTATTTTAATATCCGATTTCTCTTCTTAATCAATTGGAGTATATAGTTGGATTGGAGTTATATCGGTTGTTCAGTCGCCGTTTATGTTGAGCACCATTAGAACACTTTCCGTAATACACCATTTGAAGTGCACAAATCTAGCTGAAGAGCGCAAATCTTGCTAACTCGCGACTTTTCGTACAAATAATTCTCAGCAATCATATTTTGTTGCTGAATTTCAAACAAACAATTTGCGTTATTCGCACAATATTCATAATATTAATTTTACAAGCTTTCCAAATATTTTGGAGAAAGAAAATGTGAAATACGTATAACCCATTTTGTTACATTTTATACGTTTCGTGGACGAAATAGGTCCTCATATTCGGATGTATAGAACAGTCAATTAAACAAACATTTTTATGATAATACTAAACTTTTTAAACTACATATTTAACGGAGAGATATATTTAAGAACCAATAAAACATTTTGTTAAAGTTTTTGAGTACATGAGCGTATATTCTGGAATGTGGGCAGAAAGGTAAAGGTGCAGAAAGGTAAAGACATTCCTTTTCAATTTTAACTATTGCATTAACAAAACAATAATTCTGACTCCCATAAGATTGTGCTTAAGGTCACAAGGGATGGGAAATGACAGGTACAATGTAGCCATCTCAAGCAAATGGACTTCACAAATGGCAGAAAAGAGCTGTGTGTAAAGACAAGTGGTGGTTAGAGTCATAGAGTAGGGGGAAGGAGTAGGAGTAGGAGTAGGAGTAGGAGTAGGAGTAGGTGTAGGAGTAGGAGTAGGAGTAGGAGTAGGAGTAGGAGTAGGAGTAGGAGTAGGAGTAGGAGTAGGAGT